CCGACCATATTTCATATCCGTGACCAATGGGAGAATCGTAAACGGGGGCTTCATCGATTTCGCCGAACCTACGTGTATAGATTCACTTGTGTAGAATATTTTAGCTGGACGCTCGGTGATATTCGATTGCCGATCGATTTTACGTTTTATCGAATATTATGAATTCGGATTAATCAAGCTACTTTGTACGAGTGTATATATTAATTTAAGTATTAAGAAATTAATTGGATGAGTATAATATTTAATATTAAAGATGATATTGAATTAAAATTTTAAATCATTTCGTTGATTTTTGTTTTTTTAAACGAATGATGGAGTTATAAGTTGGATTTAGTTATGGATTTTGAATTCTATGGATTTAAATTCTCTAAAATTTATGTAACTAATGACTAATCTATTCGAGGTTTTGGCAAGGTTGTATAAATTGATAGAAAAATATTGTCGTAATGAATTCAAGTAGTAATATCTAAGATTGACGCTACGTTAATGACTCGCGCCTTCAAGTTTTATAAACTATCTTATCAGTTTATTTGTAATTTGAATTTATATTGATTTTATAAATTTGCTACGTATATGTACTTACATATTTATTTATACACTATTTGATATACTATAAATGATTTGATATGGACACAATCTATTTATATTTATGAAAATTTAATATAAAACTCAATTATGAAGCGCAATTAAAAATTTAATACGATTCGATATATAGATCAGGATTATAGATATGAAATCTATAATTTCTTTCGAAAGAAAGAAAGAAAGAAAGAAAGAAAAAAGACGAGTTTAAAGGCTCGTGAAAAACTCACAACTCTTAATGCCTTCCTTTCTCCTTTAAGGAAATATTTCGTTGGAGCGGCGTCGAAAGTAGGATCACGCAGCGGGATTAAATCGGTGACACAGAAAATCCTGTTCCTCCTCTTTCCAATTCTTCTTGCATTTCTTCCTTTTCTTTTTCGAGCCACCACCCCCGCGACGTGATGTATCGCGTTACGGCAAAATGCCTCTTTGTCCTGATTTTCGTGCGGCTAAGGGGTGGCTGCAGCCTCCCTTTCAAACTGCAGAAAGGGATTCTGAAATATGACCACCACCACCCGTGCCAAGGTGAATACGCGTTTATACGCGCGTCGACCGTCTTTTGTCGATAACGTGTACTAGCGCGCGCACAAATCCCTAAATGATTTTAGGAAAAAAACGATTCCAAGATAGCTATTTGGATAGAAATGTCGCACGGGGATAGAAAGATCAAAATTGCATTCCTATTTTTTCAACGTCGAATGAAAAAAACCTCGTTTCCCTTGTTTCAACTTAAAATTCTATTCTAAAAAGTGAAACGAGTTTATTAAAAATGAACGCGGTTTTTTCTTTTCTTTTTTTTTTTTTTCTAAAAATTTTCGAGAATTCCTCGAGAGAAATTTTTTTTCTAAGCTTTCGAAGAGAAACAAATTGCTTGGAATCGACGATATTGGATTTCTCGTTTTTCGTATCTTTTACGGATTTTTTTTTTCTTCTTTTTTAGATTTTAACGAATCGTTATATTGAATTTCCGATCGTGACAGATCGCTCTGGATGCATCGGCGAATCCTCCGGGCATTATGGAAATAAGACCGTGTAGCGGAAACCGAATCGAGTGTCTGCCACGTCGATTGATTTTTAAAACGTCCGCCACGGATTCGCTGTCGTGAAAATAAATCTATCGTTTGGATTAGGTCAGAAAATCCTCCTTACATCGATCAATCTTACATCTTTTTCGGCCAAAATTCAAAATCAAATATTAATCGCGCATACGTTCGTTCTCGTTCCAATCGATCGACGATTTAATTTTTTAAATTAAAATTTTAATATTACGAGTATTACGAGCGATGAATTTCGATTGCACGTTTTCTTTTTTTTTTTTTTAGAAGAAGAATCTCGTCGGAGAAGATAGAATAGAATTTAAAGTACGGGGAATTTTAGTTCGAATAAATGGATAGGAAATTGTATTCAGGTATTAATCGAGGACTGTTTCATCGAGATACAGGGTTTAAAGCATTCTCGTTCGCTTATTTCTCATTTTATTCCGGTACGCTCGGCCAGCCTCCGTGAAAGCTCGCCCCTAATGACGAGGGAGAGCATAACGGTAGCAAATTCTGCCTTAACAACCTAATAAGAGCATGGCTATTAAAGCGTGAAATGACAAATGCTTTAATAAGCCGTTCCGTCTTTCGAAGCCACGTCTTTCTATCTTCTCGAATTTTCAAGAAACGTATTATTCGTATTATTCGGTCGAAATAGAATAGAAAGAATTTATATAAGTTATGGAGAGTGACTCGTGAAAAATTCTAACATCATTATTGAAATACGAATATGATGTATATTTCTCGTAATATTGTTATTACGAGATTTAGATTAATATTTTTCTTGAGGGGAAAGATAATTCTTTTAAATAATCATCGCAAGCTATAAGAAATATAAAATCTTTCTTAACTTATATATACAAATGCATATTTTTCATATATAATGACTTGCATATATTTATTATATGAGCAAGGTTATTTTTGGCTTCGAATGTTTAAAAATTTAATTCTTTAAACAAAAAATAAGAAAATTGCTTTTAAGAAATCTAAAATTTATCTTAAGACTCGATTAAAATCATGTTAAAATTAGGAAAACTTTAAACCGTTGTAACTTCGAAAATAATGACTTTTGGTCAACGAGTAAACGATCGTTAGAAGCGCAAAACCTTGCCCTATAAAACTCTTTTTCGTTTATCCCAATACGACTTCCGGTTCCCGAGATATCGTCGTGTAAAAAGAAAGATAATTTTTGTTTTATTATCTTCGTCTTTGTCGAATCTCTCGTTCGCGCCTCATCTCACTGACCTATCCCAAATTCCAGACAAGTGACAGACGAGATTCTTGGAAGAACATAATACGCATTTCCAGGAAAAAATGTGGGTCACTGGATAAATCCATTCGTAATCTCTAATATTAGTTAAATATTCGAACACGTTTTAATAAAAATCTGCATAAAAATTTGTAATCCATTTAATCGACAACTATATTTCTAAATGGAGATTATATTTCTATATTAGATATTCAAAAAATTATTCTATATTTTTTTTTTGCAATTACATTTTTTTATCGATTAGAACTACAGATTAGAAATATATAACATTTCTTTTTCATTTCGTTTTATATTATATTTTTATGCGAATTCTTTCTTTTTTTAAATAGAAATCGAAACACAGTTAAGGATTTCTACCGTTTTCATCTTTCTCTTCTTCGTTTCCCCTTTTCCAATTCCCACTCCGCCCAATTAAAACTTCTACGATTATCGTAACCATGGTTCGATTGTCGATAGGATACTTACGGATAATGCGTTAAAATGGTCTGGAACTCGATCGTTTTACCGTAGCCGGTAATTCAAAACTAGTTACGATTATAATATTCCAACGAAACGAAAATTCCAATTCACAAATATTTCACGAAAAGAGGATCGGATTTCTTTCTTATTTGTATCAAATTGTATCAATTAACTTGTAACTCTATCAATCCTTTTTTCAAAGAATCAACGACAATCAACCACGTAGAAAAGTTTAAAAAAACTTAAAAAAAAAAAATAAATAAAATTTGCTCGAGCAAACTATTCTTCCACCCTCCAATTCCTCCACCGACGCCACTTCCGATTCGCACGAGACGATGGTTCGCGGTTAAACGAAAAGAAATCGGAACGATTGCAAGTTTCGAGGATCGAACGAATTTTTTCCCCACCCCACCCTCCCTCTCTCCCCCCGTAATACACGAGATAAAAATTGAAATCTCCCGGGTGAACATTTCCGTGCGTTAGCCGGTGCCTTCGCGAGACCCGAGCGTGGAGGGATATCGATCGGCCGCGAGGTCGATGCACCGTCGCGTTTCACTACGTGAAATTCATTTTCAGCCAGCCCCCGGGGAGACATTCTGAAAATTCACGACCATTAAACGGAGCGAAACAAAAGTGTATCTGGGCGAACG